TCAGGGATATTAGATAACGTTATGATCTTTTCCCTGATCTCGGGCCTTCCCGTACCTACAACAACAACCTGACGATTGCATGAAATCTCAATCAATTCCACATATCTCCTATGAAATATCCAAGTGTACTCAAGCCGAAAAATTTAAACAACATTAATTAGAACACAACTCCCCCACGCTTATAATAAATATATATCGTGATTATAACAAATATATATTACTATTCGTACATAATATTATTCACCATTCCTTCCCTATTATAGTACATAAAAATATTCGACTTAGATTAAAATATAACGACAAGTACAAAAGCCATAAAGGCCGATATACTTGGCTAAATTAAATAATACATAATTTTTCTAGATAGCTACTTGTAATTCAAGTTTACTTACATTCTTCTAATATTTTTTAAAATAGTTAAGATCTATCAATAAAAAAGGAATATATTTTTATAAGAATAATATAATAGGCTTTCGAGCTTTATCATTGGCCTTTTAAACGATAAAATTTAATAGGACAGTGCATATATAATTTCAGTGGAATAAATTTGACCTTGAAACATTTAGTAAGCTCATAAAAAAATTTACAATGATTAAATAATGGCAAAATTAATAGAATGTTTGTCGCTGCACTAGATTTTGTTTTAGTGTACCGTAATTTGTTTTTATTAATTTTGTTATTAACTTTTACATATTAATTTCGGCTATTAAACTTCTTGTTATCAACGGAGAACTAAAAAATGAATATCCATAATTTGTCAGGTCGAAATTTGACCTTGAAATATTTATTGTTGATAACTCACTTTCCTTTAATTTTTTTGACATTCCGTTTGAAGAATACGGAGGATCAATTAAGGTACTAAATATTGGCTATAACTAAAAAAATGATTGCTCAAATTTTTAATTTTGGCAAGGTGCCAAAACCTTTCTATTTTGCTTATAACTCACGAACGGTTCATTCTGTTGATATGCGGTTTAAAGATTCTGGAGGATCAATTAAAGCACCACACTTTGGCATATATTTTGGTAATTGATCCTCACTTTTTAAAAAAATTCTTACAACTTCACGCTATAAAAACAGGTCATAACTCAGTTGCGGTTAGTGAAATCGATATCCGGTTTGGATATTATTAACGGACAAATTAAAGCCTAAATAATTGCCAAGTTTCAGATCGTGATCTTTTATATTTTCGGTTTTGGCAAAGTGCCAACACTTTCTTATTTTGCTTATAACTCAGTAACGGTTCATTCTGCTGCTTTCCGGATAGAAGATCCATTAACGGGCTATACAATGGTATAAGTTTCGGTAATTGATCCTCAAATCGTTCTTTCAGCTGCAAATCTTCGCACTTTCATTATTTTGCTTATAACTCAATAGCCTTTAATTTTTTTGACATTCCGTTTAAAGAATATGGAGGATCAATTAAGGTACTAAATATTGGCTATAACTAAAAAAATGATTGCTCAAATTTTTAATTTTGGCAAGGTGCCAAAACCTTTCTATTTTGCTTATAACTCACGAGCGGTTCATTCTGTTGATATGTGGTTTAAAGATTCTGGAGGATCAATTAACGCACCACACTTTGGCATATATTTTGGTAATTGATCCTCACTTTTTAAAAAAATTCTTACAACTTCACGCTATAAAAACAGGTCATAACTCAGTTGTGGTTAGTAAAATCGATATCCGGTTTGGATATTATTAACGCACAAATTAAAGCCTAAATAATTGCCAAGTTTCAGATCGTGATCTTTTATATTTTCGGTTTTGGCAAAGTGCCAACACTTTCTTATTTTGCTCATAACTCAGTAACGGTTAATTCCGCTGCTTTCCGGATAGAAGATCAATTAGGATCAATTAACGGGCTATACAATGATATAAGTTTCGGTAATTGATCCTCAAATCATTCTTACAGCTGCAAATCTTCGCACTTTCATTATTTTGCTTATAACTCAATAACCTTTAATTCTGCTGATGTCTGGTTTGAAGATCAATTAGGATCAATTAAGACTCTAAATAATGGCATAGATTTTGTTAATTGATCCTTACATCGTTCTTACAACTTCACGGACCTCCACCCCCCACAGAAGCTTTTCAAAAATCACGATTTTTCAAATATATATTATAAATATATTTGGTAGTGCCCATCCAAATGAAAAATAAAAAAATACAAATTTGATAGGTAGTTAGTACCTTAAGGTAGTAAGCACCTCACTTATCTATGGTACATCTTCCTTAAAATTTTATTTAACTATGTTAGCAATGCTTATTTTAGCCCATTTACGTCAAAAAAATTCTAAAAACTTTAAACGATTATGACAATTGTCACTTATCTATGGTACATCTTCACTAAAATTTTAATATAACATATTTACAATCTATATTTTTACCCACTTGCTATAAAAAAATTCAAAAAAGTTCAAAAATAACGATTGTCACTTATCTATTCTAGGGTACATCTTTACTGAAATTTTAATTTAACATCTTTACAATATAAATTATATTTTTAAATTTTGTGTTATAAAAATTAGGTATATACCTGAGACCGAATCGGGTCCTGAACCATTTTTAATTACGACATGAATATTCTTATTATAATTATGATCACATTAATCAGTTACCCAAAATTTAGCAATTTACCAGATTTTATATAAAAACAAAAAAAATTGAGCAGACCCAACGAGTCGAACGACTATATGCGCCGACTAAGTGAGTCGGCTCATGCAGCTCCTTGATCGGCTTGAGTCGGAGCTGTTTTTACGACTACGACTCGAGTAGTAAGAACTTGACTTTTTAACAACACTTCCAAAAAAATTGCCCACTACTTTAACAACTCTGCACGTAATGCAGTATCAAGCTTTATATACATAATTTTTGTATATTAAAAAATGCGTCTAAAGGGATATTCGGTTGCTTCTTCTTTCGGAAGGGGGGGGGGGCATGTTATTCTTTTTTTAAAAATTTGTTTATTTTATTATATTTAATATTGAATTAGTTCTTTTTCGATTGAACAATTTTTTATTTTTTTAAATAAATGTCTTTTTTTATTTAAGAAATTTTAAAATAATTTTTTTCATACATTTATATAGGGGTGGAGGGGGGGGGGGGTTGTAGTAGCATTTTCTAACAGGGGGTAGGGTAAGGATAAGGTAAATTTTGAGGGGCTATGAATTAAATTTTTATAGAGTTATATATTTGGCTGGTCAAATCTCAAATAAATGTTTTTTAATATTAATCTATTAAATCGAATTTTTAGATAAAATGCAGTTTATTCGTTAAATCAAATTATAGTATAAAATGACGCAGTTTAAACTGAAAAATTGATCTCATTAAAAGATTTTATTATCAAAATTTAATTCTTATTCCACAGAAAGAAATTGACTACTAAAACAGAAATTTATTGAAGATCTCGACAACAGGAAAATTGCTTAAAAAATATTATTAAAATTAAGATAAACAATAAAAAAATAACCCCCCCCCCCCAAAAAAAAAAAGCAGCAACTAGTAGAATAAAAATTATGTAATAAATGATAAGTGGATGGTCATGTTTGCCAACTAGCCCATCATTTAACTATTTATCTATTGAGCTAATTTCTCTCAAAAATTGTTTAAAAAAGATCTAAATAAAGTTATTAGCATGTTTTAATAAAATTTATAAATATTATCATTAAATTTATGAGTCGGATGATGAAATGAGTTAATATTTATTATTTTAATTTTATAATATAATACTTGAACAATATCATATGGCTAGTTGAAACATACTATGTTTGGACTAGGCAAGAAAATCAACTTTTGCATAAACTCATCAGCTCAAAAAGTATTATAGATACACTTTTGATGCAAATTTCAAAGATTGGGATACACTTTGATATATTATTAAATGTTTTCTCATTGAAAATAATAGTCTTGTTTGATGATAAACTCTTCCAGCACATCAAAATTTGTACCATGTGTTAATTTTTTGTAAATTCGATATGATCTGCACCATAATTATCTTCAATATCAATCTCTATCATCAACATTTAAAATTATTTTGAAAACTAGATTTTGCAAATTTTTAAATATAAAATAAAAAGATTATAATTTAGAATTTTATTTATATTTTAGGAATTTTTATGTGTAATTTATTAAATAAAATTGAAATAGCACTGCTACTGACCACCTACACCTTAAAATATCATAAAAGGCCTGATAATTTAAATTTTATAAACAATTAAAAAGATTTTTAAAAAAATGTTTATATACTCTCTACTAAAATGTAAAATAGAATTAAAGAAAGAAAAACTGGTACTTATAAATTTTATTAAATTAAAATATTTTTATTCATTAGAACTGTTTCAAAAATGTAATCACCAATCCCTATCCATGATCCTGTTTTTAATAATCACTTTTTTAATTAAAATATTTTGAATGATCCTGAGGAGCTAAGCATGATTCTAAATTTATTTCTTAATATAACAGAAATTCATATAATCAAGCCCAAGAATAAAATGATTATTTATAATTTTGAGGCTAGCTCAGCCCAAAAAATAAATATTATGTTGAGCTAAAAATAAGTGATTATTAAAGAAAATGATGAAATAGTATCTAAAACTCTTTTATATTTGGTTTCGACAAATAATTTTAGTTCATCCATTACTATTAATTTAGCTCGCAAAATCATCATTGAAGTTTTAAAATTAATTTATAATAAAACTATGTACATACACAAATATAGACAAAATAGTTTTATCTTTTTAACTATTGGAATATAATTTCTTTGATGACAAAAATCACTTATTATAATTCAAATATATGTCTACACCCTGGCTATAATCAATTTAAGCCCCAATTTTTGCAAGGCAACTTAATAATCCAATTAGAAGAATTATGGCATAGATAATAAATTTAAAGTGAAACATTATTAGATATCTAACCTGTTAATATAAAGTTAAACTTATCTTTACTATCTTTTAAATGGAAAAATAGCAATATCAAATTTTATTTTAATATAATAAGAAAATATATTAAAATATTTATTGATATATAATAAAGAATATAAATATCAAGATAAAAAATATATAACACATTTTAAGCATTATCTTCTAAAGTTGCCGATATATCAACTCCAGGATCAATTTGAACAGATGTCTAGATATCATAATTATAAAATTAATAATATTTAATTTACTATTTGATTAACTATTTCAGCTGGACTGTATAAATCGATAACTCTTTTATATATTCTTAATTGAAATCTATCCCATGTTTTAGATCCCTCACCACATGGTGTTTTACGCGTTGTAATTCTCAGTCTTTTTGTAGGAATTCTACATGGCCCACGTGTAAAAACACCCTTGGATTTTGCGCGTTCTATTAGTTCCTTACAAGCTTATAAAAGATAATAAATTAATTAATATATCATACAATACCTTTTTCTATTTTTTTTACATCTTTACTAACTAAAGTTATTCGAATTTTTCTTGATGGAGCTTCTATTAAATTTTGAGCTTCTTTGAACATATTATAAAAGGAAGTTATTGATAAATTATTAATCCACTAGTAGTGAATTAATATAATAGTTTATAAATAATAAAAAGTACTCAACATATCTGTTTAAATAATTATCTTTAATTTATATATTAATTCTATTTTTGAGGATATTTTTATATTGATGGTCCGAAACGTCGCTAATAAATTACTTTGGGTGCCAAGGAACTCCCACCTCCCAAACCTTTACCCATTTAAGAAAATAATATTTTGTTTACTTTCTTTTAAAATTAAGGCTCTTTTTAAAATTTATATCATTTTCCTTGTAGGATTAAATCATTTTATTATTATGTATCATTTATTTTCTTCGTAAAAAAATTGTGAAAAATCAAGATATATTATATTTTATAAAAAAAAGAATAGATAAGCTATATATATCATTATTTTATTTAATATCCTATATATTAAAAGTAAACAAAACTTAAGATTGTTTGAAATAAATACTACACAAGAGTTGATACTAATTAAGTTTATTTCCTGGCAATCACCTGATAAATATATTAATATGATTGATTTGTATCTATGACATTTATAACATTGATAATATATATATGACATTTATAACATTGATAATATATAATATAAATCTCATTTATAACATATCCCCACACAATGATCTTACAATTCCTCAATAAGCCGACTTGTAGGTTTCCTGGCTCTTTGTGATTTCCGCGTTTCTATTTTTCCGTTATCTTCCACATTTTCTAAAATCTCAACTATATCCGACTCTTTATTTTTTATATTTTCCTCTTCTCTCTCTGACTCCATATTTTCTCCATTTTCTTTCCCTGGCCCAGACTTCTCCATTTCTTTAGCTACCTCCCTTTTTCGAAGTTGATCCGCATGCTTTCGTACCATTCTATCCTTGCTTTCTACCAAATAAGAATATCTGCCAGTTCTGGATTTTATAATTCCTTCTCTCCAACCTGAATTTATTTCATTATGCACCCATACCGGTTGTGCAATCTCAAATTCTCTCATATGACTATGTTCATCATGCGCTACTTTTTGTTTTATATTCGATCGTTCCATTTCATAACTAACATTAGGACGTAACCAATTCAATCCCGTTTTTAAATTTCGCCCCAATAATAACTTAGCCGGTGAACGTCCAGTTGATTGATGCTCACCCATTCTATATGCTAGCAAAATTTCTCCCATGGCTTCCTCGGGCTCCCTGATGTCTTTCCTAGTTGCAAAATATCGACTCTTGAGGGTTCGTATCGTTCTTTCCGCTAAACCGTTCGTTTTTGGATGGTACGTTGTTGTATGTATCAATTTAATATTTTTCTCGAAACAAAATTTTCGAAATTCTCCAGAAATAAATTGAGGTCCATTATCTGATACGATTTGTCTAGGTGTTCCAAACCGTGCGAACCATTTCCTTAAAACCCTGATCATTGTCGTGGACGTGGTCTCTCTCATCAACCTCAGCCCATTTATGCATCAACTCCAACTAACCATGAATACGAATCAATAGGCCCCGCGAAATCCAAATGAATTCGTTCCCATAGTATATTAGATATGTTCCACGAATATAAAGGAACCTCCATAATATTCGACCGATTACTTTGACAAGGCATACATTGACGAACATATTGTTCAATATCTTTATCGCAATTCGGCCACCAGCAATACATTCTAAAAATTGATTTCATAGCATTTATTCCTGGATGCCCTCGGTGTATAATCGTTAAAATTGATTTCCTCAAAATGGTTGGAATTACCAACCTCCCATTCCATTCAATAACATCATGATCTACTGACAATTCCTCTCTACGATTATAAAAACAAACTAACTCTGTATTTTTTTTCGCATCAAAATCCACCCATCCATGCTCAATGTTTTTAACTACTTTTTTAAACAAGCTATCATTCCTTGTTTCCTTTTGGAGTTCAACTTGACTAATATTTATATCGTGCAAATTTATAGCTCTAATTTTTAACGCGTTTTTTTGATCATTATTTGATTTTATGCCATCTATTGGCAGTCTTGATAATGTATCAGCTACTTTATTTTCTTTTCCAGGAACATATTCAATATCAAAATCATATGCGGACATTTTCACAGCCCAGCGCGTTAATCGACTATTGGATATTTTTGGTAGTTCCCGTTTATCACCAAAAATTTTTCCAAAGGTTTGTGATCTGTTCTTAATAAAAATTTTCGACCAAAAATGAATGTATGAAATTTTTCCATACCAAATAAAGTGCTCGTGCCTTATTTCTATTGGTACATAATTTTTCTCTGACTCTAGAAGTGTTCGCGAGGCAAATGCGATTGGTCTGCTAATATCTTTTTTCACTAAATGACATAACACAGCTCCAAAACCAGTGTTGGAAGCGTTACATTCCAATATAATTGGCAAGTTTGGCGAATATGGAATTAGCGTTTTATTTGTTGACAAAAGCTGTTTTATTTTATCAAATACCTCTTGTTCCTTGTCCGACCAACCCCAGCAAGATTTAATGCTTGTTAATTTATGCAGAGGAGCGGCAATTCCATGTAGATGTGGCAAAAATCTCTCGTGATAATTCACAAGTCCTAAAAAAGATCGTAATTGGTGTATATTATTAGGAGTTGGTATCCTTCGAATAGCATCTATATTTTCTTTCGCTGGATGTATTCCATATTTGTCTATTACGAAACCCAAAAAAGAAACTGATTCATTTAAAAAACGTATTTTGGCCCATTTTGCCTTCATACCCACCTGTTTTAGTTGTACTTTTTTTACGTTATTCAAATGTTCTACATCATTTTTCCCCGTTATGATAATATCGTCAAGATATACTCCGGTCATTTGGCAGTCTTGTAATAAATTGTCCATATATCTTTGAAATATGGTCGGCGCACTAGAAAGACCGAAAGGCATACATTGATATTGGAAATAACCAATGTGGGTCGATATGGTTAAGTATTCTTTTGAACTTTCTTTTATTGGTAATTGTAAATATGCATCTTTCAAATCTATTACCGTAAATTTCAATCCATCTTTTAATTTGGTTAAAAGATCATCTACCGTTGGTATAATATGATAATCGTACAAAATATATGGGTTTAATGTCACCTTAAAATCCGCACAAATCCTGATTTCTCCATTTGTTTTTCGTACGTTTACCGTTGGAGTGGCCCATGTCAACCGTTTTTGTGTTGGAGCAATCGCCTTCAATATTCCTGATTTAACCAATCTATCGAGTTCCATTTCAATTGGTTTTCGTAATGGAAAAGGTACTCTACGAGCTGGCCATGATTTCGGCCTTGCTGCCTCACTCAAATGTTACTAACTTCTATATCATTCACCCGTCCAGGCTTGTCATCAAAAACACCAATAAATTCTGTTGTCATGCCAGCAATTTGTTTATTGGTTGTCATAACCTCTTTATTTGTGATACTACGTATAGTCACTTGTCGTGGAATAAACATATTAAATGCCAGTATCCATGGTAGTCCAAATAATGGAATGTCATTTGAACGGGTCACCACAATCGGTAGTGATATGCTTATCTTTCCAAGACGAACCCTCACCATAATTTCACCAAGCACATCTAGCGGTTGGTTACCATATACTGATAAAGGTTTGGTGGTCCAAGTTTGGGTCGGCCAATTTCATCCCAATATTGTTTCCCAATCACCGATACCTGTGCCCCCGTATCATAGTCAAATTAATATTATTAATTGAATCTGATGAATCATTGTCATCTATATGCATAGCATGTAACTTCTGTCCCTTACAATATTTAGCATAATGCCCTAAATTTTGGCAATTATAACATTTCACCCTTGATGTAAAACATTGAAAAGGGGGGTGAGTTCTTCCACATTTCGAGCATTTATTAAACTTATACATATCATTATTGTTAAATTTAGTTATCTCTAAACAAAATTATTATTATTGTTATTGTAATAACTAAAATTACCCTTTTCTTTGTTATTATTATTATATGAGTACTTTTGATTCGAAAAATTTTCTTGATTATTCTCTATCTGCTCCTTAGTTTTATTGACTATTTTTACCATCATATTTGTCACTTCATCCTCAGCCCTTTCCATTGCCAAAGCCATATTTAAAACCTGTTGAAAACTCACCCTTTCTCCCAATTCATTTATTCCATCTGGAAATCTAGTGCGAATATCTTTCTCCAATGCACTCATTTTGATTCCAGCCACCATCTGATCCTTCAATCTCCCATCTAGGTCAGATTCAAATTTACATTCTTGAGCCAATTTTTTAAGTCGAGCTGCAAACTCCCCAACTGATTCACCAACCCCTCTTTCTATCCGAATAAATTTAATTCTCGAGCTAAATAATGTTGAAATAGGCTTAAAAACTTTCTTACCCACTTCAATAACCTCTTCATAATTAAGATCTTTCAATATTTTTGGATAAACAAAGGACCTCATCTCTGCTAAATTACTAATACCCATATACGCAAATAATATTTTTTTTTTGGTTTCATTATTTATTAATATACCTCTTATCTCCAACATATCATCAATATATTCAATGTAATCAGCAAAGTTGTTTTGATTGTCGAAGTTATCAAATTTGATCATAATGTTATCATTTTTTTCTTCTTTATTCATAATTACTTTATTTTCTCTTCTTTGTTCATAATAAATCATCGACAAAGTCGCCAATATACTAATTAAGTTTATTTCCTGGCAATCACCTGATAAATATATTAATATGATTGATTTGTATCTATGACATTTATAACATTGATAATATATATATATGACATTTATAACATTGATAATATATAATATAAATCTCATTTATAACAAGTTGTACATTTGCTCAAAAGATCGTAAAATTTGAAGATCTTTTATTTTTAAAAAATTTCGAACAACGATCTTCTTAGATCGTAATTTTTAAAAATGGTAAATTATGAAGATCTTTTATTTTTTTAAATATCTTCAAAGATCTTCATATTTTAAATGTTATAGTAAATTATTATTTTTATGATAATTTTTTTGAAGTAAATGAGTTATATAAAATATAAAATTCAATAAAATGTCC